AATACAAATTTTGAAGAATGCTCAGAAGATTGGTAAGATTTCCTACTTGTCAGCCAGAAAAGGAAGACTGTTTGAGAAGTAGATAGCTGTTTTCTTTGCTGTTTGTCTCATTTGTACAGAAAAGACTGCAGATGAAATTCAAATACTTGTATTATTTGTCTGTGGTAATGTGGCATGAAATTAGAGTTTCTCAGGTAACTGGGCCTCTTGCCATTAGTGATTAGGAGATTAAAATCAATATTTAGAAGTCCATCTTAGAAATTATTTGGAAGCCAATGCAGACTCTAAAATGTCAGTACTTTATCACCAGTGCTTCATTCAGTAAAATAGTCAGTTATATTCTGCACTACCTTAATTTTTCAAATGATCCTGAAGTGGCGCCCATGTGGAGTGCAGGCAGCCATACAGTCCCAAAGAAACAAAGGCATAAATGATCATTGTAAGGTCCCTACATCGAAGAAGAAACCGAGACAGATGGAAAAAATTTCTAGTACAGCTGCTGTTTGATCTTCCAAATGTTGATCTGGCTCTAATAAAACTAATTGTGAACCTGTATCACATACTGAGCATTCACTCATAGTGGACAACCATTCCCAGGCTTATTTTCTGATTTTTCTTTCTGGCAGTTGCCACTCAATACAAACTTATCTATTCTCAGTATTCATTTATTTTAAAAGTTATTTTTCTGTCAACCATGGCGCCTGATATGTTGAAAGCAAAACAGCCCTGATCACACACTGCTGTCCGTGTTTTCTCACTAAGGCTCATAAGCATTATCCTGAACAGGACCTGTTGGAACCTTCAGCTTTTCATGAGTGAACCACTGCAATAGTTCTGTCTCTGATTAATTCTGTTTGCAGACATCCCCACAAAACAATAGAAGCAACAGGATCATCAGGCAGTTAAAAGAGTGAAATCATCACAGACATTGATTTTAATCGTGGATTTGATACAAGCCTCTACTTCAGACTATGTCTGAAACCCAGCTGACTAAGATCTTAGAAATATGAAGATGTTGGAGACTTCAAGATGCAAATGGTCACAGCTTTCTCCATGTACTGTCTAAACCGCTAAAGATTTAATATAGGTTTATGGTCAACAGGATAGTTTAAACTGAGCCTTGGGTGCGTGAAGAGAAACCACGTGACAGATCTGTCAAGCACAGTGGCACTCTGATGTCTTCTAGGAAGCTGTCAGCTTTAGCCTACACAAAGTGCCTGTTCTTCCCTTGCTGTCTTTGCCACCCGGAGAGGACTTGGACACAGTGCAAGTTCTGCCATAGTATACCACAGTCTCACAAAACTTTAAGGAATAAGGCTTGCTAAATTTCACAGAACTGGTATTAATTTCCTCAAGTCACTGTTCTGATGGTAGTTAGATTCCAAGCGAAGGGCTTCATAGCCTAAAGGAACATGGAAGTATCAACCAACATAAGGCAGTCGGATCCGGTGGGTGCCAGAACAGTAAAGGAAGGTGGTTGTCAGTGGTTGTTTTATTTTTTTCCCCCCTCCCTTCTACATGATCATAATCTACCAAAGAGAAATCAGGTAGTTTGAGTAAGCCCAAGAGTTTTACCAATAGTGTTCAGTCCACTCTTTTCTGACTATTTTATTCAGATGACCTCTTCTGAATTAGTTTTGTGCAGACAAATCTGGCTGACCGTTTTTAGGCTCATCTTTTCACAGAATTATTGCACCAGTGGTGCAAGACAAAAAGAAGGACAGAGGTTCTAACCTCCTCTTCTCCAGAATCTCTTAGGACTTTTGTCTTTAAAGTGCAGCCTATGGATTTGAAATGGAGAAGAACAGCGGTCTGTCTGCAGATGATACATTCACTTTGCACATTCAAAACCCTGGGAATATTAATTTCATAGTGAGATTGCTAAGGTAGTGTCTTGGCTGTCGTGCAGCAAAATATGGTGAAATCACTGTGTGTGATAAATAAAAGGATTCAGCTGTTTACTGCCAAGACACTGAACATGCTGGGGGATCTGTATCCATGTTACTAGGAATTTTGTAGAAAACTGTACAAAATGTTTCTCAGCAGATCTCAAAGTTGATTGTTCAAGGTAAAAGAATGTAGGGCCGAGGACCTGATTTTTAAATGACAATATTTCCTTGAAAAGATTGCACTTCACTGCCATGGCAAAATTATTATTAGTCATTAACAAAATTAAAATTTCCTAACAAACTCTCTGTAACACACAAAGGTATGTATTTCATTTGATAACAGCTACTAAATTCCATCACTTAACATTTTCATTTCAGTTTTTCTGGGATAATCAATGATTTTGTGTCATAGCTCACTGCCTCCCCCTTCCACATCTAGATGCTATCAAAGCCAGGAGAGCTTCAGTACAACTGAGTTGGCACATTTTTCCCCAATCTCTTGGTAGTGCAAAAGAACACAGGAGGCACTGTTACAGCTAAGTATTGTCTTGGGAACAAAAAGCTACAGCTAAGAGGAATGGCGAGAGGTCTGACTCTTCCCTTTGTGCAATGTCCTTAAAGTACTATGCAATGAAGTTTGAAGAAAATCTATTTAAAAAAAAAAAAAAGCTGACATGAAAAGGAAAGGCAGTTGCTACTGCAAGTTAAAGCATGGGCCAGTCTTAGCAGATCCTAGAATGGGCTGATGTTAACTTCAGTTTAGTCTGTGTGCCAGGTTACATTCAGGTATTGTAGCATTCCTTGCATTTCTGAGTAGATGTTAGTACATATTGCTTCTCATTTAGAAGTGAGGAGCAGAAAAAGTAATAGCACTAAGCTAAAGTAGACATCTTTCTGGATGTGTTTATCATTTCTCATAACTGCTGGTTTATACTGTATGTTATTTTGTTTATCCAGTTTGATTACGTTTTCCTCTCTTTTTCTGCCAAATTCATCAGTTTATATTTTTCAGCTATGACAGAAAAACTTTTACATTAACTGCAAAGCAAGAAAGGTATTGAAGAAAGTTGCAACACTGCGGTGACTTCAAAGTGGTTTTTTTTTCGTATGTTTATGCAAATATGTGCAGTGGCCTGAATACTGGAAACTCAGATTTGCATTTCCAAGTAAATGTATGTAGCTCACCTGCATGGCTAAGGCAGTCAGGTAAATTACAGTAAGGAGAAGTATTGACTTGAGGCTTGTTTATGTTAAATTAGATAGCTTTCTGTCCATGGATGATAGCCGTATACATTAATGGCTGTGCAGACAGCTCTTCTGTGTGCCTTCAGCAACAAAATTCCATTTAATAGAAGTCCTAACTTGCCTAGGCATGAAAATGTGCGGTGAAGGCACAAAAACATCAGCTTTCGCCTCCTGTGTAATAAAACTGTGAAATAATTGTTATAATTGCACCAGACTAAATGGTTATAATGGCCCAGACTAAACTAATTTCAAAGGCATGGTTTTAATAATACATTTTCCCTTCTCCCACGGTATTTCTAAATACAAAAAAAAAGGTGTACTGTTAATATCAGGATTAAGCTGGGGGTGGGTTTTTTTTTCTTCTTCCAACTGCAGCCACACAGGTCTTTCTAGCCTTGTTTTGTAAAGTGCATCTCATGAGGGACACCTGAGATCAGCATACTTGACTTCAGAGCACTCTCCCTTTCCCTCAGGGCAGTAGAACATAGCTGCAGCTGTTACATGGTTTCTACAGAGAGTACTATCAGATAAAACTGGAGGTTGTGCAGCTTGCAGTTAGCAGGAAGCAGTTGTGACTTTCCTCAGCAGTGCTATTCAGTAGTAAGAAATTTTTACGGCAGTGTAACGCAGCAGTTTTAATTCTGTCATGGACTGTCGTATTATAATACTATTTTAAAATACATGCATGGATGATAAATGTTACCAAGTATTAATTATAAACAGGATGGACTTATTTATGGTACACTAATTAAAATGACTGTTTCTGGAAGATGACCACAGAATCGCAGAATGGTTGAGGTTGGAAGTGACCTCTGGAGGTCATCTTGTTCAGCCCCTCTGCTCAGGCCTGGTCACCTAAAGCACGTTGCCCAGGACCATGTCCAGATGGCTTTTGAGTATCTCCAAGGTCAGAGATTCCACAACCTCTCTGGGCAAACTGTTCCTGTGCTCTGTCACCCTCACAGTGCATAATTTTATAAAAATGTTTTGCATTTTTAGTAAAGGTAAAATTGTTCATGCATGTGAATGTTTATTTGATCAGAAGATGTCATTAATAAGACACAGCAAAGCCAGGCAGCATGAGATTCGTAGTTCAGCTGAGAAGGGGATAGTGTATTTAATGACTAGAGAAATCATTCTCTGCTTTGATGTCTAACTTGCTATTAGGAAGCTAAGAAAACAAACATAAAAGGGAGAAAATATGAGCGAGGCAGAAGAATACCGACCTGTAAGTTTTCATCTGAAAACATAAATGCTTTAGTAGCAAATCACAGTAGCATGATTGTACTCTACTGAAGGAGGAAGGAGGTCCCTTTCTAAGGCAATTCAGGCCAGAGAAGAAAAATGCCTAAGAAGTATTCTAAATCAGGATGTAAATGTTTGTAAGATCCAAGCCTAGAAAATCTTTTCGCTTTATAAAGTACAGATAGATATTGACAACTTTAGTTAAACTGGCATGAGATTTTGGGTAGTATGCTGATAAGTGGCAGACTGATAACATAATCTAATTTAATTTTTGGAAAATTAGCAATTTACATATTCATCCTAATGAGTAAAACATGGGGTAAACAGCAAAAAAATGTAGTATACTTATTCAGAAAATGCATGTTAATTGTATTACCCATTCTTCAGACTGAACTGTCTTGTACATTGTTTAGTAAGATAATGAAATCGTAATCTCTTCAGTAGATGTTTGAGAGAAAATTTCAATCCCAGACAGCATCTTTAGTTGCCTAAAAAGTGCAGGAAACATGTTAGTGAAAGGAAACATGGTCTCTTGGGGATGGGGTGGAGGGCAAGGGAAGAACAACCAAACACTAAACGTACATACATTCTTTCTCTCTTTCCATTTCCATTTCTTCCCAGAGTGTTATACAGCAAATGGGGCTGACTATCGTGGCACTCAGAACCAGACCTCCCAATATGCAGGGAAACCTTGTCTTTTTTGGAATGAGACCTTTGAGCATCCTTATAATACTTTGAAATATCCCAATGGGGAGGGAGGGCTTGGAGAGCATAACTACTGCAGGTAAGAAATATCTCATTGCTACTAACATTGCCTGTATACCCAGTGTTACTTTAAACAGTTGACACAAAATTAGGAAACTTCCTGTCACACAGTGAAGAATGTCAGAACCATGGATATCTAACAGGTTTTGTTTTATCCTGTAATCAGTACCCTGGATCTGCAAGTACCATTAGTAGAATAACTTCTTCAACCCAGCTCTCATCCAAAGTCCATATCATCTATCCAATATATAACTTGGCATGACGGAGAAAGACTAGAGACTACTTAAATGAAAAGGTGGAGATAATAAAAAAAAAATTACCCAGGTCAGAAATACAGAAGCACTACTGAATGTCTATAGGAGTCTCTGGTACGTTATGGTTTTTATCCTCACCCACAAGCCTGGTTCTGTTACACACTATGTTTCCGAGTTTTGTGCTAATGAAAGTTATATAGTCACTAAAAATTCTCAGTGAACATGAGCTGTTCAGTGACTTAGAGTTGTTATTTGAATTCAGAAGCTCAATTGCCAGTGGTTGCCAGCTCAAGCTGCAGCAGATCCACTTTCATTTCCTTGCCTTCTAGATAAGTCCTCCATAGCTATGGATAGAACTCAGAACAAAACTTAAATGGAGCCAAATAACAACCAAGGTTCAGAGATGTTTAGGCTCTGCAGGCTCTTTTCAACCTGCAACATTTAACTTCCTGATGATGTGCATCGGGAAGTTGCATGCACTTCTGCCTTTGCAGGACTGACCCTCTAAGTTTTTATGCCCATCTATACTTGCTATGGAAATAGGTGGGGGGATAACCCGATAGATACATTCCTTAAACAGCAATAATCACCAACTCATCTAGGATGCATATAAAGTTGAGTAGTGTCTCTTACTCACTGGGTAATGGGGACAGAGGTGTTTGAGAGATTAAGAATTGAGTTACTTGGGGCATAGCAAGAAAAGCTCTAATATCTCTTTCGTGAGAAGGTTCAACCCACACCTCAGTTTTCCTGGAAAATGCCTTTACTTAGCAGGTTATAGGCTTTCTAGGGTAGAGCCTATACACTTGCCACCTTCATGTTGAAATCATTTCACTGTAAGCGATATAAATCGGGATAAATGAGGCAAAATTACTATGCAGGAGCTCAGCACAATTGCTATCTCACAAACATAGGTCCTGGTTCTTGATCCAAGAACTTTTCCATATTTAATCAGAAATAGACATTCAAGAAAATATGAGAGAGACAGAGCCAGTCAGTTAATAGAGAGTAAGAAAGCACAGAAAAGAGGTCTTGTGACATGCAGCAGACATGAGCACATTCATGAAAGGAGTCAGTGACATTTCCAGAATCTTTGATGACTCAGGTCGATATTTCTCATTGAAGAACATTGGTGAAGGACAGGGAAGAAAAAGACTTGCTCGGGATCTTTTCCAGTGGCTGCAGCAGTGCTTCAGAATAACACTGTTCAGTATGTTGCACCAGTGGACTCTGTTTTCAGCCGTAGAAGGAGAAAGCATTATTGCCAAGTTCTGAATTGACTCTCTTTTGAATCAGTTCAGCATCTTACAGGAGCAAAAAAAACAAGACCACCTACAAGAGAAACTCCACAGAAGTTGAGCATTCTCTTTAGAAAATGTCCTGGAAAACAAATAAACCCATCAAGCTGTCTAGTATCAGATTGACATGTGAGCACTAGAAGGACTGTCTTCCTATCAAAAACATTTCACACCAACTTCACAGCCTCCCTCAGCCCAACACCGCCAAGTGCATAACAATTCTCATGACATGTAGAGAGCTCTGTCTCTCAGTATGCATACTGATATGAAGCTATAAAAAGGTTAGTGGCCACTGAATTATCTCTGAAACAAATAGCAGAATCAAGAATTTTGATTGTTGCTGTGTGGCAACATCCTAGATAGACTGTATCTACAGTCTTATCTACGGTCTTTTGGCGGTCACCTCTGGCTAATACTTAGGCTAGTACAAAGCAAAACATGTACAAGCTATGCAAAAATGTGCGTAACAAACCGAATGTTTATCCCGGTATTCAGGTAATCCTTACTAGAGTCTCACTTTGCTTAGCATATAAGAATTTGGTGTTACAAGGAGCAAGAAGCCTATAATCTAGTATGTAAGCCTGAGAAATTACTCGATTACCAAATACAGCTTTTTAGCCTCAATCTGCTAGGTGTTACATTATCCTCTTTGATACGGAGTTTGACCGGAAGGTTAGCCATTTCCTTCCTTATGCTGTATCACTTGGCCCAGGAATATTCTCACAGTTGTATGGGGTGATAATCCTAAGTAATGGATGCTTTTTAACTTCACATTCTGTTGAAAAAAAGCTTGGAAAGTCACTGTTTTAAGAGTGTCAGAGGCTGTCTTTAGCATGCAAATCTTGTTGAGGCCTTGTGAGTGAAGGTACCTCTGGTTTAGCTCTTTCTCTGCCATTCATTTGCTTGGTGACAACGGACAAGTTGATCTTCCCTTCTCAGAGGCAACATGTATCTCACAAGGCTTTTTTAAGTCATAATAAATTGCTTTGAGGCTCAATTTTAGGGACAACATTTGAATAATCTAATTTTACACTTAAAGCATTTATCAGAAGCATATTATCTCTCCATGGGTGGTCCTTACTTGGAATTCTTTGTTTACTGCAAGACACTCTGTTAAGATGGAAATGCCTCATAACGTTCCACTAAACCTCATTTCAACCATAACAAAATTTTGCAGACTGAAGTTTTTGGAGATTTTGAAAGACACTCAGTTGTTTTCTAACTGTATGCACTTTTGAGGTTCAAGGCAAAGGTTTCTAAAGGCATTCATCACATTTCTCTGCAATTTCCTTGGATTTTAAGGCATTTGTATGTGGAGTGCCATTACCATGGTTCAGTTGCAGACATCTGATTTCTGTCATGCAGGTATAAAGCCAAAATTTCCATAACTGTGAAAACAAGGAAAATTGTGTGATTTCGAGTACAAGCTTTCCTTGATTTTAGTCTTCTACTTTCTTTAGCCACTAGCCTTAGGCTTTCCTCATCTGCTACTTTTACTAGTCTGTTTGAAAGACTAACTAGCAGCATTTTAGTCAGCTACATTGAACTCAACCCACCAGTTCTCTTCAGGATTCTGTTATTTGACCAAAAACCATCCCCAGCAGTTTTAAAATTGGATCTCCCACAAAGAGTTCTTACTGTGCCCGAATGACAACATGAAGCTGAACTGACATTTTGGTGTAGGGGTGTCTCATTAGTAGAATTCATACCAAAGTACATGATTGCAGTTGGCCCTAGTAACAAGGAAAGGTGAACCTAACTGCCCAAAGTAACAATTTATTCTCTTAAATTCATCTTTTCAATGTGAATATTTTTTCAAAGTGTACGTAGGAAAAAACTTTAAATAACCTAATGACTAATTAGGTATGGATTTGTAAATGATGCTACACAACAGCAAAGAATAATCATGGACACGTAAGGAATTATCTCATCCATCAATATATCAGATCACCAAAGAAGATTTATTCAGCTTTACTGAAGGGGAAGAAGAGACATCAGTCTTTCCCAGAAGACTTTATCGCATAAATGTTTTTGTCATCATAGATACAGAAAGTTGGGGTCTGGACTATTTTGTACCAAGGCAAAAAACAAGTTTAGGAATCTAAGGAACCTGTATGCAGGATGTGGGGGCTGAAAACCTTCTTCTGTCTCAGTACTGTCTAGAAATAGCTCTGCACCTCTTAGATTTAAAGAAAAAGGAAGTTATGTTTTAGCCTTTACTAGCATTTTATGCTTACTGTGTACTATAATAACCAAAGTTATCTGAACTTCCTGACCACTTTTTGCATTTTTCTTGGTATATAAATCCAATGGGTTTAAATATTCGATAGGTATTAGAGCAAAAATAGTGATGACACTGAAGCTTAATGAGATTTATTTTTATGTGGGTGTTTTTTTTTAATATTTGATGACTTTTCATTCACTCTCTATTTTTCTCTTTCAGGAACCCTGATGGAGATGTCAGCCCATGGTGCTATATTGCAGAGCATGAGGATGGAATATATTGGAAATACTGTGAGATTCCGTCCTGCCGAAGTAAGAGCACCATGCAACTTTTTTAGGCCTGCATTTCTGTTGAACAGAGATTGGCAGTTATACACCAGTGGGTAGGGATTTTCAAACGGAAACTAGGATAAGGCAAATCAGCTTATTTTCATTTGCAGACTAAGCAATATTTTAAACAGGACTCTAGAGTTAATGACAAGCTTACTGAATCATTCCTCCATTGCTATCCTTTTCATATTATCTCAGAATTACTGGGTTATATTATTTACAAATAATACCAGACAGACAATCACTCGAAACTTACGAAGTACTGCTATTTTTTCGAATCCATACAAATACGTCATTCATCTATTAAAATGTATAGGACAAAAATGAATAGGAGATTATTAATTAATTTTTTTACAAGGTACATATGTGTCCTTCATTTGCAATTAGCTTGTAAAATGGATGGCATTAGTGTAACGAGTATAACACATCATACACAGAATTGCTTGGAAGAAATCAAGACAATATGAGAGGACATAGGGAAAAGATGGCTTTTTGTTATATATATGGGAGCTCTGGGCTAGAATTCTATTCCTTGCAGGTGCATATACTCAGCATTGCTGTGAAACTACAAACGGGACTTTGTTCGATTTTTTTTTTAAACAGATAATTTACAAGCTATTCGCTTCCAGCATTTAATATTTTTAATGTATTACATTATTTACCTTATCCAAAATGTGGAGATTTTGTCATGATTCCTGTCAATATATTCCAAAATTTTCATTCCTGAACGCTCCAGGATAAACTCCTAAGAATCACATTCTTTAAAATATGCCTAAATATTAAAAAGAGATTCCAGTTTTGCATGTTAACAAGCAACCATAACTACACATTTTATTAAGTCTAATCATTAATGCCTTTACTTGCTTTCCTAACTTCTTCTGTGGAAGTACTCTCCATTTCTAAGGGATAACTTATGTCTATACTGTTAAGCATCAGAGCAGTTGCCCTTACGTAGGCATACTTTTGATTGGATGAAGTACATTTCTTACTCGAAGTTAAGAAAACAAAACCAATCAAAGAAAAATTGATTTAAAGTGATGTTTTTACTTTGTCCACAGTTTTCTTTTTTTATGAATGTGAGCGATTGATTCACATCTTCAAGCTTGGTCACTTAAGGTCACTTAAGTGTTACCTTAAGTCAGATGACTTTTACCTAGTCTTAAGTACAGATTGAAGAGTCTAATTTAAATAACACAAAATCATTCCACACTCCAATAGTCATTGTTCAGAGGACATCTTACTCTTATTTTTCTAATATACCAGGTCCTATTTAGGAAACATGACCCTCCTAATTAAGGAATTTATCTTGGTCTAAAATGAAAGAATTTGCATTTTCTTTAAAGACCACAGATGTTAACAAATTCTCTGGATATGGCACCAGTAAAAAAAGCTGAAAGGCAAATTCTCTCCACTCCATTTGTTCTACACAAAGGATCCTTTTAAAACCAGCCTCACTCATTTTCTCTGTGGTGGGGAGCAGAGGATTTTAACTTGGACACTTACTTGCACAGATAATCCAGACTTACATTTACAAAATGTCCTTTTGACCAGTAGCAGCTGCTTCAAGCATTGCACTGAAACTGGATACTAGAAAAAGGAATTGCAGCAATTTAGAACAAACTGTACATTGCAAGCCCATCCAAGTCTTAATACAAACCTCATGGTTTATGAAGCTGTGTAAGTAAAAAAAAACTTTTATTCTTCACCAGATTTTTTGTTTTCAGTAAGCATGATGCTAAATCATAGGACCATCAAAACCAACTTGCAAAGTGCATAATACAAAACTGAGTTCTGTGATGGACCAAGAAAGCAATGGTGTAAAGAAATCCTATTTGAAATTTTTAGAGAAGTAAAAAAATTGTCTTATATAAGCTTCTTTTCCATAATTATGTTTACTACTAGAAAAGCCAAGTATCTGGAGCATAATTTACCTATAAACTGTACCCACATAATACCACTGCAGTGCCAACAACATGAAGTGTCTTGATTGCCTGGAGAGATTTGCATGCAATGATTCACTGTAGCAATAATTAAGAATCTACAGCTAAGAATTTTTCATTATGATGATGATTTCACATGATTATATCATGTCTCGTTTGCTAATATTTATACATAACACTAAAAGATTAATTCAGAAATGTGTTCTGGCATTCTGCATGTGTAAACATGCTATACAGAATTTAGCAATGTTAGATGAGGATGGATGGGAATAATCACAGAAGACAGTGGTAGCTACCCCAGTAGGAGCTTAGTCTTTCCTTTTCTTCCTCTCCTCTTCTTAATGGCTTTGTCTGCTATGCAGACTGGAATGGACATAAAGTAAAAGGCAAGAAGGCAGCGTTGAATCTTGAGAGAACATGTGCTTCTCACATGGACAATTCAGAAATAAATGCTTTAGATGGTTTGTTTTCAATGTTGCAGCTATTCCTGACTTTTTTGGTCTTGTTGTTAATGAGGTTAGTTGAAATTCAAAGGAAATAACTTACACTCCCAAAAGGTAAAAGAAATAAAGGCTTGCTGTCCCACTTAATTGCATCTCCATATTTATGGCCTGCATGAGTCTCACCATAAGCAGATTTCATTATTGGAATCATATTTCCTGTGTGCATGTGTGTCATGTAATAAATTTATTTATTACTGAAACATTGATGGTGTTAAATGGCAGAGCCAAGTAAGTGATCAATACAGGTGCATATTACCTTTGCAAAAAGCTAGGAGGCTCTTGAAAGACAGCTAGATGAGCACAGCTGGAACATGGTTTTAAGCTCAAAAGGATTAATCCCATGCTTTAATATATGTGCCATAACATGTAATATGCAGAACGTCTGGTGTTTGCCAGGACCTGATTATGACAGATGCTGCTTAAAAGAAAAATAGCATGCTTGCACAAAAGAGGTGACCTTTTAGGCACAAGCAAACAAGTAGATACAAACAGTTGAAGACAGTGTAACAGTAAGACATCACTGATCAGCATGAACAGTAATAGCAGAACATTGACTACCTCTTTTTTGCCAAGATTCTTTAGTAGGCTAAACATTAAGGCAAAATATTATGTTGGAAATTTTTAAAGGTCAGAGTAACTAAACAGTCACTACCTATCTAGAAATACTTCTGATTTGTCATTGCATTTTTATATATATATATACACATACACACACACATATATGTAGTTTTATACATACATATAGAGTTGTAGGATACCCCAGGTTGGAAGGGATCTCAGGCCATCATCTAGTCCAACCTCCTGCTCAAATCGGGGCCAGCTCTGAGATCAGACCAAGTTATTCAGTTTGTCAGATTAGACCAAGTTTATCCAGACAACCTCCAGGGACGCAGAGTGCACTCCCTCTCTGGGCCCTTGTTCCCGTGCTTGACTGCCAGCATGGTGAAAAGATTTTCCTGATACCCAGTCTGAACATCTCATGTTTCAACTTAAGCTCCTTACCTCTTGTCCAAAGTGCATCACTGTGAAGACCCGGGCTCCATCGTTGTGACAACCTCCATGTTGGTATTGCAAAGCTGCTAGGGGTGCCCCCAAAGCCGCCTCTTCTGTAGGCTGAGCAAGCCCCAGTCCCTCAGCCTCTTACGGGGTGACTGCTCCAGCCCTCTGAGCATCTTGGCTCTCTAATGAACTTGCTTTTAATGTCTTTCTTGGACTGGTGGGCCCAAAACTGGACATAGTAGTTCTGATGTGGTCCTAACAAGTGCTGAGTAGAGGAGCAGTCACTTCCCTTGATCTGGCTGTGCTCATCTTAATGCACACCTGTTGGCCACCTTTGCTGCCCAGCACACTCCTGGCTCATGTTCAGCTCTGTCCATCAAGATCTCCAGGGCTTTTTCTGCAGAGCTGCTCCACATACATAAATGTACACTGTCTTGTTTTAGATTTATGTTGAGTGGCTCCCTGTGCATACAGCCTGATTCAGTTTAATACAGTATGAATGAGGAGCATGTTACTCTAGTATTCTAAAAATATTTGTGAAAAAGCAGTCATTTGAGATCACTGCTGATATAAAAGCATTGTTTGCCAATTAGATCTTCTCCAACTCAGATTACAAATGATCTCCCCTCTACTATTATGCTTATACTATGTACTCTAATTACCCTGGAGTAGCAACTCAGTGGTGTCTGAAGTTTAGGACCAGCCCATCAATTGCCATAGGCATATCGAAAATCACATATGCATGTACAAGAGTAATTTTTTTTTCATGTGTTGTCCCAGTTCAGAAGAGTGTTTAATCATGTATTTGATGTGGGACTACTAAAGTGCTTTTAGCTGAGCATATATCCTTGGGCTCATGTAATTTATTGAGTTTGAAGTAATTTGAAGAGCTAGGCACTGGCATGGAAATTACTGTTCGCTCTTGGGCTAGATTGGTTTATTCCCAATCACATGATACTAATATTGTTTGCTAGATATAAGAAAGTTAAAATACTGCTGGGACACCAAAGAGACTAAGTAGCTTTAGGCTGCACCTAAATGGTACACTTGATTTAGTTACAAAATGTATGTAAGAAGTTTTCAAATTAGTCTAGTTTCTTAGCGTGGCACATACTGAAGTACTAATTGTCTGGAGACAAGGTTGAAGGGTCTCACCAATAAAGCTGCTTTGTGTTTTTAGGAAATCCCAGATCTCCTAGGAAAATGAGCTAGGTTAGTGAAGTAGGAAGCTTTTTCAGGACAGTAAAATCATGCACTGTACAAAAAAACCTGAGCTGTCTCAGAGATACCTGCCCAGCTGTACTTGGCTGGGGTGGGGCTGCAAATGGGGATTTCCAAAGGTATGTTAAATCAGGCTGTAACTTGAAGTCTCAGTACTTTTACATGCGTGTTGCTGCAGGGCATATCAAAGCCATAACTCCATGCAAGCGTTTATAATTGAAATTGTATCATTCTTATAAATGAAAATGATTTTATGAACAATATTTGAAACAACATTATGTAATTATTCAAAAAATATACATACTTGAATTTTCTTCCCAACTTCATTAATTTTTCTTTGTAATACTATAATCACTCTCCTTAAGAGTATAATCATATACATGCCAGTATATTTGCTTGTCACTGATAGATATGCTAACCCTCTTCCTCAAAATAAGGAAGCTGCCTTAGGCAACATAGCCTAAGTCTGGGAGCAGGTTCTGAGAGAGAACTGTTAACTGTTCCAGATGTCAGGATGATTCAGATTTTAACAGTAAGCTGACATCAGTTTACAAAAAAAAAACCCTATTGGTAAGTCAAAAACCTGAAACAGTGCTGTGCAAGAGAGAGTTCAGAGTTTACTGGGTACTGAAATAACAAATGACTGAACAAGTAAAACTGTCATACAGTTCTCTGACCGCATTACATGTTATATAGAGATGTGGAGGTTAGGTGGACAAAAAATAATCCTTGTCAATCTGGCACAGGGATAAAAATTACCTGACTACAGGTCTGGTAATAGATTTAATTTCAAGTATGTGAGCAGATATGACAACTAGGGAAAGGATAATTTTATGCCATTAGCACAGCATTATATTGTACCCCACATCCTCTCTAGTAGTCATGTCTAAATTCTAGTACTTTGATAAAAAGTGCAAAAACAAACCAAAACAAAAAGAAATTATGCACTGAAGGGAGAAAATGCTTTCTGACCTCCCACAGTGACCAAAGAGCCTTGAAATGTTGTATTAATACAGCAGATGTTTCTTTAAAAAAGTAATACTGCTCACTTTGGATCTCTTTGTACGTACCATAAAATATGACACTTGGAATTTATATCAGAATTTGAGTTTTAAATATTAGGAAATTCCCCTATATAAGTTTATAGTCCCTCCCATAAAACTTGCCAAACTTCATCCTAAAACAGTTTAGGTTCCCTTTCTCAAATATCCTGTTTAGAAAACTTCCAGAACTTTATTGTTTTGAAGATCAGGCAGAAATCATGCTGTTTAATTTACATTGTTAGAATATGCATGATCATAGTCAAAAGACCCCACAAAATCTCTGAACTCAATGCGCTTTTTTCTTTTTTTTTTTAATTGTCTCTATCAGGAGAAATGAACCAGGTATTTATCTTGTCTATATTACTGCAGCATACAGAAACCAACTACAGAATATTTCAGGTATATTGCTAAGAAGATACGATGCTATTTCACCATCTGTCATTTGTCCCTGGGCATGGTTGGAAAATATGACAAGGATCTAGCATAGAATAACATTTCCCATACGGTGAAATCAATACAAGAACATATAGAGGGGTGCTTAGTAACCAAGTAGTGCATAAAGTGGTCTGTGTCTCAGGTGTTTCCAGGCACACTTTTAGAATGATTGTTGTCTGTTATTCTTTCCAGTGCCAGGGAATCTAGGGTGTTACAAGGACCATGGAGAGCCACCACCTTTGACTGGCACCAGCGAGACCTCCAATAAACTTACTATCCAAACATGCATCAGTTCCTGCCGAAGTCAACAATTTAAGGTGATTTTTTGACATAGATTTGCAAAATGTTTTCAAAGACAGAAGATGGCAATATGCCTAGAAGTCTCTTATCCTAGTTCTCCCTCCCCTCTCCCCCCTTTTTTTTTACCTTTAAGAGATCTAAGGTCTCACTCCCACTCCATAGGACCTAGCCCTCTCTCTGGATCCAGAGGAATCTGGGCAAACGACCAATTAATAATGCCAGGATGCCAGGAGAAAGTATGCTTGCTTACTGCAGTTATGAGTGATGGGATGCCCTAGTTGCTCTCTATTCCATCTTTCTCACTAGTCTTAAGTAGCATCCTGACAGCTCAAATAAAAACAGTTTGTGGTGGGACCTCTGATTAATAATGTTTCTCCAAAACACACATACTCTGTTGCCAGCTTTCTTGCTTATACAATCTCCTGCTGTCACTCCTTTAAATATTATCCCTTCCTTCCTTATGTATCTTTGTTGACAAAGTTTGCAGGCATGGAATCGGGTTATGCTTGTTTCTGTGGAAATAATCCTGACTACTGGAGATATGGGGAGGCAGCCAGTACGGAATGCAACAGTGTTTGCTTTGGAGACCATACTCAGCCCTGTGGTGGAGATGGCAGAGTCATTCTTTTTGACAGTAAGTATTGAAACAGGCTCAGTTTTTCCCAAAGGAGAGGCCTCAAATGTTCAGCAAATTAGGGAAAAGGGTTTAAATGCAATGATGACAACTGTTGCACACAAAACAACAAAACACCTAAATTCAGTATAAAATAAAGCTGTTTTCCATTTCTGCATAAAATTTATAGCCATTAATAATGTGAAATAGCTCTTCAAAGAAATGATGCCTGCTCAGGCAACTGACTCTTGCTCCAAAGATTGTCTCTTACTTCCCCACAAATGGTGCTAAAAGTCAGCTATCACAAACAGCATGTCACGGAAAGGCTCCTTCAGAACTGATCTTACCAAAGAGTAGATTTATGATTAAAAGTGAGGTAGCTCAAATAAAATTTCAGTCTACGCCAACTTGGGTTTTGTATTAAACCAGACAAGACTTGCTATAACCCAGTTAACACAACACAAAGCAGTGTAGTAGAATTGGGACAAGGAAGGAGTATACTGCAAAAGTACAAACGAGTTACATTGCTGTTATGACCATCGTTGATTTCATAATTTCTTATACATAGAAATCCTCCTTTATACTCTTCAGTATACATACCAGTGCCAGCCATGTAACTTCACAGGTTGATGATATGAATACACGGTTGTCTGGCTGCAGTACAGGCTCCCAGTATAGCCAGGAGTACTGGAAAAGTTCACAGTATGCACCGATACATTGCTGCTTCTCAGATCTCAACTGCTTCTGATGTGGAAGCTACCTTTTAAGTGGAGTTATAAACTTTCTGGAACTAAAAGTGACATCATTTTCCACCTTATGAACACACAACCAAACTGCCCATCTCCTTAGTCTAAACCTCTGGTTCCCAACTGGCGAGACAGAAAGACATTTCAGTTGAGAGAGCAATCAATCAGTCACTCAACCCACTTCCACCTTCTCCCCAAGATGTGAAGAGAAGCACCAGAGTTGCATGTTGCTTTCAGTGTTGAGATAGCATGTAGCTTTACACTGCAGCATCCTCTGTTTCCTTCTGCTCTTGGTCTCCCAAATACTCGATGGGTAAGGACTTCCTTTGTAGCTTTCATTTTCTGGCATGATTGAGGGCTGAGCAAGATGTTACCCTGAGGACCCACACTGTCTTCTCTGGTAAACAGCAAGGGAGAGAGCTATGGCTGGGTAAGAGAGGTCATCCTAGCAACTGCCACCTATTTTCTGTTCCTCGTGAGCAACACCTGCTCACCTCATTCCTCTTTTCCAGATTATGTCATAGCCCCAGAACCTTCACCCTGATCCCTGTGCGTTCACACACACCCCCATTAACCTTATGTGTTTATGTACTACTGTCATGGCCTAAAGCTGTAACATTCAGACCCGCAACACAGAACTCTGCCAGCTCTAGAAGGAAATGAGAGAGGGAAAGCATTTCCATTCCATATGGGGCAATGCTGTACTTTGTTAGGCATCTGTGGACCACTAGTCATTAGCATTCTTAGTTAATATTGCTGGTTTGAAGAACATCTTGTGATTCAGTAATTACAAACAGCACAGCCAAGTGTAACAATACCTATAAGCCATTTGTAAAGAGGAAATTTGATATCTCGGGAACAAATTTCAATTCTATCAAGTCAATCTATTCTATCCAAACAATTCTATATATTCAATTAAATCACCAGCTCGTGTAAGCATGGAGTAAGTGCCAAACACAAGTTCCCCTATGGGCCTTAGTACCTCTGTGGGGTCTTTCACATTCTCTGTATTCTTCTTTCATATTCTTTCAGTTCCTCTATAAGGTCTTTCACAGTGTGGCACTGAAGTGTGAGGTTTGCTGAGGCTGTGATCAGGCCTTGCTCCAGAAGAAGAGAGAAATGTTTTCATATGATTTTTCTGGCAGACATATGCTACTTCTTGTTCTTGTTTCCCCAGCTCTCTTTTAATTTGTATTTATTAAAGCTCTTTCTCAGAGACCTGTGAAAACTGAGACACTTCAAAACACTTCCTTTATTTCCATTCTCACAGGCCTCTATTACAGGGCAGTAATTAAGCTTTCAGAGAAAATAATTCTAATAATTGATTCTTCAGTCCATCAGCCTATGATATGGGGGAGTGCTAACTCTGATCCAAACAGTTTTGTCATGAAATACATTATTATATATGTATAATATTGTGTATTTATTTAGGGGATACATATGCATATATACCTACATACAATACATTTTAAAAATTATGCATGTGTGTATGTAGATATGCATCAAGTCAGTTGGCTGGCATTTGAGTTTCTTTCTGGATTCATTGGTAAATAAGTTTGCACTGGGAATCTGGATAGTTGTAAAGGAATATAAAGATTTACTGGGCATGTACTTGTTTTGAATATAAAAGGTAACAACAAATCTAGAAGATTTTCTTTAGACTTCGTAACAGGATCTTTTTCAAGTTACTTAGGGAAGGTAAGGTCAGACATGAATTGGACAAGATCAAAAGACAGAATGCTTAAAAAGCACATATAAATGACCACAAAGGTGATCAAGGGATTACAGCATCATTCATACAAGGAGAGGCTGAGAGATCTTGGATTACTTAGCCTTGAGAAAAGAAGGCTCAGGAGGGATCTTTTCAATTTGTATAAATTTGGTGGAAGGGTGTAAAGATGAAGCCAGACTCACCTCAGTGTTATCTAGTGAATAGATAAGATGCAACACGTACAAATTGTAATACAGGAAAATCCATTTAAATATAAACAAAAACTTTATTTATGGTGAGAGTGACACTGGAACAGGTTGCCCAGAGAGTTTGTGTAGTCTCCATCCTTGGAGACTCGAAACACAACTACACAGTACCTCCTGCTTTGAGCAGAGAGGGATTGGACTAGAAAATCTCTGGGCGTCCCTTCCAACCTCAGCTATTCTGTGAAGATTTGTTTTTCAGTTTGATATAGCTGTGAAGGAATTTCAGTAATTCAACAGAGTCACTAATCCACTTTCCTGCCTGATAAGGACGGAGTAGAAGTTCCTGAATCAGTGATTTAGCTTTCATCCTGTTTCTGCAGGGATGCAGGAAAGGGTACGTGGTTACATGCAAGGACGTAAGGATAGTTGCGGTATTCAAGACTGATACGTAGGTCTCAGAGTAATGAGGCGGAATGAGTGTATCCCAAGCAGATGCTCCCAGTGCGGTGGAAGGTAAAGAGTACTAATCCGAGAGACAGTGCATCCTGCTGGGGTATCAAGTCTATACCTTCAAGTCATGTTAGAGTATTAGAAGCTACAGAGTGCTAAAGCTGTGCATAATGAATGTATAACCTCTTTTTTTCATTTTTCGCCCTCTTTTCTTTTCACAGCCCTTATTGGTGCCTGTGGAGGGAATTACACTTCTGCTACAGCTGTGATCTATTCCCCAGATTTTCCCGACACGTATGGCACAGGCAAAGTCTGTTACTGGACCATACAAGTTCCAGGAGCATCTCGAATCCACTTCAGCTTTGCCCTTTTTGAAATCAAAGATGCTACAGATATGGTGGAATTGCTGGATGGCTATACCTATCATGTTCTAGCTCGTTTTAATGGCAAGAACCGGCCTCCCCACACCTTTAACATCTCTTTGGATTTTGTCATTTTGTACTTTTTCTCAGATGAAATCAATCAAGCCCAGGGATTTGCTATCAGATATAGAGGTGAGAGGCTAATTTTGCTGTTTCTAGCTTTCAACAAGCTGTTAAAGCATTTAATTCACACAGGAGCTTTCTGAAGTGGCAAGAAAAGAGCAAATACTTCAACTGTCATGTCTACAGGTGTTTCATTTATCTCGTTGCCACTGCTCAGTGGGTAAAAGCTTCACTAAGATTGCTCTCAATGTGGAACACCCTAGTCAGCTATATCATAAATAGCAAAATTTACATTTTCAAAAATTCAATCCTATACATACCTGCCTTTTGAAACAGATTGGAAAATGATAAAGCTGAAACAAAACTGGAAAAACCCAGTAGTCTCTCTGCATCTTGGTTCATCTTGGCTCTTTCCAACAATCTATTTCATTCAGATGAAAGTCATCAGGAGAAAACATTTTACTCCTTGATTTGTACCAACGGTTAATGATGAATAGTTAGCTTCCAGAAAAATTCTGAGCACCCCAATTTGGTGAATTACAGGCTTTTTCTGGCATCAGACATAATTTGATTATTGGAGTTCTCTAAGTAAACCAGGGAACAGCACATGTCTGTTTACAAGCACAAAAAGGCCAATTAAGTCTCTTAAGAAACTGTTATTGTAATCATACTCTTGTGTTTTCAGCTGTGAAGGACAATGTACATCAAAACAAGACTCCAATGAATCAGACACTTTCAGAGAAGATAAATGAACAAGCAAATCTCAGCATCAATGCAGCCCGGTCATCAAAGATCCTTTATGTCATCACAACCAGCCCAAGTCATCCTAGTAGCTCCATGCCTGGTAATACTACATGAAAATGTGGAAACAGGAAAAACATTTTTTTTTTTCAAGGCACAGTCCAGAGTCACTATTTCCTTTGCTTCCTTCTCCACATTATGTGATCCACTGTGCCTCTTACTAATAGATGAATTTTTATTTAGTCTAATTACCATTAACTGTGCTGCTCTCATCATTACTTTTCAGAACTCACTTCTCAGCATAAATCAGTTAGAAATAGTGTGACGATGGTGAGTCCTTGAGAATGAAAGCACATCAGAATAAGATGTGAGTCAGAGCAGCCTCCTTACTAGAATGAGCTTCAGAGACCAGTGTCTACCATAGAAGTGGCAAGAGGTGCTGAAAAAAAGAGCAAGCTTTGGTAGAGTCTGGAAGTGCCTGGATGCTGGATGCATCCCAGTTATCCCAATTCACAAAAGCTACAGCAGTAATACAAAGAGGGCTAGACAAGGACAAAGCAAGTTTATGGGTGCAGGGGAGATGCCACTGAGAACTGTCACGTGTCTAGAACTCAGCTTCAAGACACCATTCAGGAAACTGTTGAGTTGTAAATAATAGAAGACTGGAAATGCACTCTTGGTGACTATCACTATTGGTCTCTCCTATCTTTAAACTACCCTGGGCATCCGGGTTTACATATCATTGAAGCTGGGTCTCAATCACACTACGGATGCTCTTAATAGTTCTGTAATCCTGAAGCTATCTGCATTCCAAACCTGAAGCATAAAGACATGACTGCACATGAGCGGCCTATACCCAAACTATCCAGATTGCAGGACATGCGTAGGGTTCTGGGCAGATATTCTGGCACTAAGCCCAGGCTAGCGCCTGAGTTACCACAGCTAATATTTAAACTGCCTGGTGTTAAACTAGCTTGGGCATACTGACCTAAGATGAAACTGCACCCTTTGATTTTATGCAGTTATGAGAATACAGTTAAAATCATCCTGAACAGTCAAATGAGGAAGGGGCCTTTGAAGAAGGGGCATTGGCTGGGAGGGAACTTATGTGTCTTTTTTTTTTTTGCTCCTTTGAGCTTCAGGACTTCTGAAGGTGACAGCTTTTATTCAGTTGTTCTAGTAATTCAAGGTCCTTGCAAGGCTGTTCAGTGTGCTAAATATGTCAGTTACATGCTAGTGCCACCCCTTTTCCCATCTCGACATGCTGTAGCCTCCCACTACAAGATTATGGAAGTCCAAATGAAAAGGTGATGTATTAATTTAGAAATCAGCTCCCTCAAGCTCCAATCTCTTAAATAGGTGAAATGTTCAAATGTTGCAGTGTGTCAAGCTGTTCTTTAAGTCCTGCTTGACGTACTGGTCCAACCAGAAATAAATTGAAATGTAAAATACATTAATTAGTGATTACTTACGTGATTACTGATAAAAACTAGGGGATCTCCTTGCAAACACAGAGGTACTACTGGTAGCATATTTTCTAGTATGTTTAGTCTGCTTTTAAATTTTTCTCTGCGTGAGTTTTGATTCCTTTCCTAGATACTGGTTAGATAATTTTACTGGTATATGCTTTGGATTTTCCCAACTTCCAATTTTATAGGGAGCAGTCCTGCATGGGAAAAACCAGTTCTGATATTGAGAGTTACACAGTTTCTACAGAAAATACTTAAAAGTTTAAGGCATCTTCAAATTACAGTTTTGAATAAAGCATCAGAAGACTATGTGTTTCTTTTGTGCAATATTCTTACTTTTAAAATTGTAAATAAATGAATGTACTCAGAGCCTCTCCCTCTCCCTCTTCTCTTTTACAGAGTGGACAATATACAGTCTCACAGCACTGCTCATCCTAAGTGTTACAGCCATAATAGCAAAGATATTTCTCCACATAACCATGAGGTGAGTATGGAACAAAACTGTCACTGAAGAACTGACAGCTCTGTGTGAAACCTGGTACACTTAATATCTCAGCCTTCTGAGGCTGTCAGATTGGTTATGTTCAAAACCAAGTTATATATTCAAGACCAAGCTATGGTCTTGTTTTGACAAAATTTGTTTTTTTAAGGAATAAAAAGGTTTCTCATACTGAATGATGTTATACAGCAAAGAGGAAAAGGTAATCAGACATCTTGCATTGGTGGGAAGGGGTCAAATTATGATACTTTGTGGGGAAAAAATGAAAACCTCATCCCAGATCGGGGAACTGGGGGAAAAAACTTAGATATAGGCTAGTTTTAATACTTACTTTCTTTTACTGAAATATTGAAAATCGTTCAAAAAAGAATCACAAAAATGAAACTCTGTATTATGGTGTGACACTTTGCCAGTATAATTTTTTTTTGCCTATTGAAAACAACATAAATTTATTACTACATTTCTCTACACTTATACCAAATAGTTATTGTGTCCTCTAGATGGATGCTCATTGAATGAAATGACAGGTGAGTTTTATCAACAAAACATAAATGTTGACTATTGTATTTACATACCACAAAGAGGCTTAAATATTCAAAGAAATTAATTTATATTAATAGCAATTAGTAATAGAATATGTACAGACTTCTTAGCTTAATGTCACTGCTTTCATTATGGTAGCAACTATTCTAGCAACAGAATGCCTAACTTTTCATTTGATCAAGAAACTACCAACAAACACTCCAAAAACCTACATAACTGTGCAGCAGGTAGAAAGAAAAGGTGTCACAGATGTAGTGTAAGCTGCTGGCGTTACCAGTGTAGCATTTATGCAGACATATTAATAGTAGCAGCTTCCCAAGCACCTTAATGCTTACAGTGAATTAATACTTGTTTCCTAGATCCCACCAGATACCATCTGCAACTGAAACAGAAGATTCCAGTGAGGTTACTACCGCTGGCGAGATCTGGAGTATATTTTACCAGCCATCCACATCGATATCCATCTTCAAGAAAAAGCTTCGAAGTCAACAAGATGATTGCAACCCACTAGTGGGAAACTGAAGTGTCTTTTATTTTACAAGAATCAGTCGTCTTAAAATCCAGGTGACTTGGGAATAATTTTTTTTTTTTTTTTCTCCCAATCTCATATATGTTTTCCAAAAAGTTCATTTCCATAGGCCTTTGAGTGACTTTGCCTATCTGCTCTTCTCTGGAGTACACTATTGACAACAGATTTAATTGCAGCAATAGTCCAGTGCTCATCAAATTTGTAGTGCTCTTAATTACTGCCTTTAAACCATTGCACTTGAAATATATGTAAAAAACTGTAAAATTCAAAATGTCCCGTACCCCTGCCAAAAGTAATTGAATTGGTTGAGGACTTCTTGTGTCCTACTTTCCTGTACCACTGTATTCTATGAGAATACTTTAGTCCCTTTATTTTCAAGGCTGAAGACCGCAGTAGATGATACTGATAACCTGTTCAGCTGCCACAGCAGCCAGAGCTTATTGGCCCTAAGGTAAACATGTCTAAACGGTACTATACAGTAAAATGGGAGCCAGAGACTTTGAGAAACTATCAGCCTGGTTGCCCAGTGCTCTGCTGTTTCTACAGAGATGTACAAATAAAAATCAAAGAGAATTCTGGAGGCAAACACTCTATGGAGTTTGAGCTGCAACTGTGAGTTTCGATGGAGTAATGCTCACCAGGTCAAGGTCTGCACAAGCAATGAAGACTTTTAAATTACTATGACTGACCCATCATTCAACGATGATTATGATAATTTTGTTCGTATTCACAGTGAGCCTTTAAAAAAACTATTATACTCCAGTCTGAAGTCCTGCATTCATTCTGGATGTAAGCTTAGGGCTTCTTAAAGGATTGTCCAAAAAAATTGTAAATCCACTGAGACTAACACAAATTCTTACTCTGAAGTTAAAGATACTGATCTCAGCAGCCTCAACTATTTACAAAGTTGTAGTCTGCTATCAACATCTCACCTATGCCAGGCTGTGCATCTGAACACATACATAACAGTTGCCTCGATATTTATCTGTGAGAAGAAAAAGTGTCTCCTTGCCTGCAAAATTAAAATTGAACTGCATTTTTAAGATTAATGCCCTTAATTGTCAAAGAACTAAAACATCAGTGGGGATCTGATCTGTGAAATAATTTGTCTTTGATTGCAACAGACAGCATTAACTATTTCTCCTCTTTGGTAGAATATCTGTCGACCCACAATGCTCAGACTTCTCACCCCACCGCTGGGGATCAACAGTGAGTCTTTCAGCCTCAGCAAGTCCAGATCAGCAATACATTTAGGAAAAATTTGACAATATAGAAGTCAGATAAATTGACTGGAAAAGTTTACTGAGTGAGCAGCTCCTCAAACTAAGTTAGAGGAAATTCAGTGAGAGCCATTAAAATACAATAATTCTGGTTAAGACAAAAGGAATAAATATAATTTTAAACTTATACCAGTGGTCTGTATACACCAGACCTGCAGTCAGAGAACAACTATTAAATGCATCTGCAAAAGATGATAACTAAGAAAAGCAAGAAAATTGTCACGGAGTTTAAACTCATTATAGTATCTGCCCTTCTGTTTTGAACATAGAACTCCCCTTCATGAGGTCTATAGATTTCCTTGAAAAAATAGGGCATCTAAGAATTAAATGATGAAATACTGTGCCTTACTTGCCATTGTAGATCGGGTCTTTTACCTGAATTGAATTCATTCCAGCTCCATTTATGTACCACAGATGAGTGCCAGAGACAGTTGAACAATACCACAATAAATGCTTAATAGAAACAAGACGTTACTAGCAATTATGGAACTGTTTGTATCAAAAATGGACTATCGTGGGAACATCTAGTACTTTCGTGCATGAGCTGCTGGAAAGCATACAAGAAAAGATAATTACAGTATCGCCTAAAATCAAGATAGGATGAGTTGTAAAATACACTGGTTATCTCTTATGTGTCATCAGGTTGGACCAAAAAAACATTGTTTCAGATCCAACAAAAATTTTTAAATTGCCTTTGTAACAGTCAGGTTTTGCATCATGCTGTGTAGGGGAAGAGTCTACCTCACAGGTTGCAGCAAACCAAATTAGTTTGCTTCCTAAGCATGCTTAATATGGGTCACTAATAGAAAACCAGGAGGAGAGAGTCAGAGTGTAGAACTAGATCCTTAAGTTATGAGCACATTGTGATGAAGCTTTGTTTGCTTGCTTTATCGAATGTTCTTGAGCAGTTAAACATATACAGTCAAAGGGACATTCATAAAGGAGTTAGCTAATGCTTATAAAATGGAAAAACATCAGGAGGACGCCATGAGTGATTTCTACCTACTGCAGAAGGAAAAAACACAGAGCTGTTAAGCTTCGCTTCTTCAGTAAAGAATTTAATTTCGCTATAAAATTAGAGAAAGCCCATTACAAACGACAACAAAAAAACCCCTGATGCTACTAATGCAAAATCTAGGGAATTTAGAAACTGAGATTTTTGCATTGGTCCCTTAGCTCTTCAACTATTTTTTAAATAATAAAATCATGAGCCTTTCTTAGGGAATGTTTATCCAATTTCTGTATGAAAGACCCATAAAAACAGAAGTTATAGCAGATTAACTGGCCATGGCAATAATGAACGTGACTAAGCATTAGGTATTGGATGGTGCACAGGTAAAACACACTGATAAATGTGTAGAGAAAATTGTTATGTGTCGTGTGTCGTCCGTCCCCCCCCCCGCAATTTTTCAGATTGTCTGATTCTAGATACCTCTAATATTAGGAAAGAGAGCAATAGCTAGAAATGCATGGACAGGATCCCTTAAATATCACTTCTTACTATACAGGCCTGAGACCATAAAGAGCAGGGAGATCTCTGCTATGGATTTTTTTTTCAAAATGTGGTATGGTCACTTGCACTTCTAGTACAAATACTTTGGTGTTATGGTGGTATGTCGCCAACATATATGGTAGCCATTAACATAGCACTTTATGATCTTTGCTATATGGGTTTGGGGAGAGAAAGAACAAAAGTATGACATGCACAACTGTTGTAATCCCATATGATTCAGCATATAGAAATGCCCCTGTGACTCTCACAGCTGAGTGCTGACAGCTGGAGGGCACAGCCACCTCAGGATATTAGTGTTTATGGCATTTTCTTCCACAAATTGAAAATAACTTCACAACGACTTTCCTTCAACAAACTGAAAAAAGAAAAATTTGTTTGGAATTGTATCTGAATGGCCTTCTGACCTCCTACTTAGCAGTTCCCTCAACAGGCTGGACAGGCTGCAAATGTAACATTGGCCACAATTTCAAAAGCAACTGTTTTGACAACAAAACCATCATAAGGAGCTGCCGCCTCATATACACGCATTCCAGCCCCTGCTCTGGCCCCTCCTCGCTCCGTTGTGTTGGTATGACCAGCTGTGTGGTGGTGCAATAAACTGATCAGGTTAAAAATTGCCATCGCTTTTTCTTCTTGAGTTACTTTTAACAGAGTTCTCTGATCTTGTTTATTGGGTGGTTACACAGAGAGGTGAGCTAACACCGCTAAGTGGACAGTAAGCCATAGGAAAAATATAGTTGTCTGCTCCAGAAGCAGAGGCAGTAAGTACTTATGCTGGTACTGCCACCATAGCAATTTGTGAGACTGCCTCCTTACTTTATGCAGCATGTCACTTCAATAGCCTTCAGTAAATGTGGGCCGCAGGTGGAAGGGAGCCAGCTGGACAAGTGGCCTCCCTAATTCAAAATCTACATTTAAAACTAGTTTAGTTTGTTGACTAAATGATTTTATATGTACTTTTGTCTTAATATTGTTATGTTGGGGGGGGGATAGAGACTGTGTTATTTAAAAGTATGTGTGATATGTTATCATAGTAATATATATATTTATATATGTATAGGAAATGCATTATGTAATACAGCATATTATGCTTGTATCTTGCTAACATTTTATAGGAAAAGATGTTAGTTTACACTCTGGGAAAAATAAATTTTCTATACACTGTAACCACAGAAAAAAAATCAAAGGTAATTCATTGGTGTATATATATATAATAGCAGAACACTGAGAAGAGGGTAACTCGGATTCAGTTTTGTGGCAAAAAGATGCTGGTGAAAAAATTGCTTTAAAATGGACTTTCCTCCTTTGAATCTCATTTCTAGCTTGTATTAGGCTGTTCATCAGATTCTGCAAATTCATGTGCCTATACTCTCAGGACCATTTTAACATCAAACATGTCTGCTTTTTCAATTAAGCATTAACATCGTCTTTTCTAAAAAGGACGATGGCTTGTTTCTGCCAGATTTTCTACAGCCAGTAGGTTAAGGAGGTTTATCGCATTGCTCATGCAGACAACCCAGTGGTATTGCAGAATTATAGTCTGTATTCCAAGCTCCCCTGGCAATAGCATAAATGGGAGATTTTTACTGATAGCCCTGGAAACTGTACTGAATCTGCAGCCTATATGACTGACTACAGGCCAAACACGTCAGCAGACACTTGGCTGCCACTGAATGAGCATGACTAGCTATTCCAGTTTCATCTTCTGCTTAATCAGCTTTCTCAGGCAGTGGGAAGGACTGCCAACAGATTTTTTTCCTAGTGCACCACTTTGCCTAAAGGAAGGGTGAACTGCAAAAACAACTCCTGACAAACACTTGTCCAACTAGTTCTTAATACCTTGCAGCAATGATATTTCACAATCTTCCAATGAAATATAGTCCAGTGATGGTTTCACCCAACTATTATTCTAGACATTTATGCACAGCGTTATCATTCTGCTACCTTGAGATCTTGAGAGTGAAAAATACAATTACCTTCAGACCATACCATGTTTTTGGTAACAGCCTCCCCCCCGCCCCCAACACACATATCTTTTGTGCAACTCATACTTTCTCAGCTTTACAGAGCACCTGTGGTTTGGGATGAAATTTGGCGTTTTGAATTTCAGTCTCAAGACAACTTACCATAAATCCAAAGGCTATCACGTGACCCAAATAAGACTGACAAGAACACAGACTAAATCACACTTTAAATGACT